GTCATACATTTTTCAATATATTTTTCTTGGTAATTTTAATTACATAATGTTTCTATTTCATATGAGTTCATCTAGCTACTGGCTGTTTCTTTAAAAAGGTTAAATATTCTGGGGAGCTAATTAGATGTTTTCCAGCAAACTGGTTACCTAAGCTTTGAAGCATATGTACTTGCACTACTTGTTACTGCATTCTTATCAGGTTTTAATTCTTGGAATGTGTACTATTGTATGCTTACAATTGAATTTCTTCTTCAGCACTGTAGTTAAACTCAAAATGCCTTCCAATAAAATTATTTACAATCAAATCCCTTCAGAGCATTTAATTATAAATCTTATAGAATTCTTTATTGTCCAAGTGTGATTGGACACACAAGGAATTTGTCTTGGTGCAAATGCTCTCGGTGTACATAAAAGAAAAGATACATTCGTCAAGAGTCAAGAACCATAAGGTACAACACTTAATAATAGGGTACAATAAACAATCAAATCATACTAGGAAACAGTCAATATAAATCATAAGGATACAAGCGATAAAGTTACAGTCATACAGTCACAAGTGGAAGAGGAATCGGTGATAAGGAATGATGAGAAGATTAATAGTAATAGTAGTGCAGACTTTGTAAATAGTTGAACAGTGTTGAGGGAATTATTTATTTAACAGAGTGATGGCATTCGGGGGAAAAACTGTCCCTGTGTCTAGATGTTCTGGTGTGCAGTGCTCTATAGCGTCGTTTTGAGGGTAGGAGTTGAAACAGTTTATGTCTGGGATGTGAGGGGTCTAAATATTTATCTTGAGCCTGTTTTATTTCTATTGTTAGAAAGCAGCCATAGCTTATTAAAAACATAAGCAGAAACAAATTAACCAGACTAAGTACCCATTTGATGTAACATTCTGTTTTCCACAATAGCTAACCAAGTAATACACAAATCAGGAAGGAGCAACTCTAATTTAAACAAAATAATCCCCTTTTAGTTGTGCTCCCATTACTTGAATTGGGAAATGTGTTATGTATGATTTAGCGAGATTATCATGTACTGTATCTGGATTTTTCAAAATAAACCTACTTTTTGCCACAAACACACTCTTCACCATACATTTCATCCACCCTCCCCATCCCCGATCTCATGGAGAATTCCTTTGCCCATTCATCAGCGGTATTTTGAAAAACTATATTTCCTTACTTGATTTTAAAGGATAAGGAATACCGTATTTTCCAGACTATAGAGCGCATCGGAATATAAGCCGCACCCACTGAATTTTAAAAGAAAAAAATATTTTTATATATATTAGCCGCACCAGACTATAAGCCGCAGATATATATGTTGCGAAATGAGATATTTACACAGAAAGAGAAGAATGCTCCTCGCATGCGGCCAGATGTCTCCAACGTCTCAACATTGATTCATTAATGCCAAGCTTACGTATTTCCTTCCTGGATAGACAGATCGATGACTTTCAACTTAAAAGCTGCATCATATGCTTTTCTTTGTGTACTTTCCATGATGAGGGTGTGAAAAATATTTTGCGTTCGTGCATGTCATGCTGTTTGCATCGAGCGCGCCAAAAACTACCGGTAGCGTCTTCTTTACATTGACCTCTTGCGTCTGTCACATTTTTTGCGCCCCCTGATGGCAGTTAGCGAAGAAAAATCTATAGATAAGCCGCATTGTTGTACAAGCCGCAGGGTTCAAAGTGTGGGAAAAAAGTAGCGGCTTATAGTCCGGTAAATATGGTAAATACAATTGATGAACATTTCAAAGCTGGACCAAGGCTCTTCTGATCATGTCTTCTACCTGCTAATCCAGCAATGCTGATAATCCAGGGGAAGTCAACTGTTAGCACAGTGGCCATGAACTTGAGTAAAGCCAACTTTACTCCAAAGCAAGGAAGTTGAAATATAGTTTAGGGGGAAGACTACCACCAGTTAGCAATGTATAAGGAATTGAAGGAGCAGCAAGAGGGCCAATATGCCTCAGTATACTTTAGATTTGTGCATATTGTATCATGAAGGGTTAGGGTGCTAAATTCCCAGGCCTTTCCCTCAATTGTTAACAATTTCACCTGAGTTGCTGGGATCCTATATAGTAGGTGTCTGGACAGATTGCAGGGTAGCTTAATTTGGAGGTAGAAATTGATTCAGAGATCCAAGTCCCAAATTATATTGCATTTTATGTAACAAATCAACTGATTAAATTGTACATATGAGTGATTAGGAGAAACCAGTTAAGTACCAGAGAGAGATATTCTCAATTAAAAAGCTCCTGCAATTAAAAATTTAAATAAATAGCATAATAATATAAGACACACATAAATATATTAAATAAAAAAATTAAATGGATTATAACATTTTATATCATACTTGACAATCCAAGCCCTGCTGGGTCATCATTTCAGAGATTTCCTTAACTAAACAGAAAAAATTACCACAAATGGGCAATAAAACAGTGAGAGCAGGAGCAATTTCCAACTTCCCCACTGAGTTTCCTTGTTTAAGTAGCATTGGAAATCTTCCTTCTCCCTTCCTTGCATTCCTGACAACTTTCCCATTGAGTATGCTTGAGGGAAGCTTGCAAGAAAAAAGTCAGTAGAGAAGCCAGCAGGAAGTAGCAAGTCCACGAGCAGCAGGGTTATAAATGACTACTACTGGGTAGGTAAAGGAGTTTGGGTGCATGGAGGTACAGGTCAGAAATTATACACGAGTGCATGTGCTATTGGGAAGGGATGGGTGTGGGAGATGCCACATGGGTTGGGGAGGACATGTGGATGGGCAGCATAGTTCGAGCAAAGTGTCTGGGATGCACAGAAGATGCTATGCAGGTCAGGAAGGCTCTGTATATGATATAAGTTAAGAACAGTGCATGAGGTCACAGGTATGCACAAGGGGTGCCGTGCAGATCAAGTAGGATGCTCAGTGTGGCAATGCAGGTTAATAAGAATGGAAGGATGCAGGGAATGCCATGCAGTCAGAGATGGCATGCAGTAAGGGATTGCCTGGGTTTGTAAAAGATGCCTGGAAATGCTTGGGAGTGTACAAAAATTGCTATGCAGATTGGGAATGAGGCATACTATGTGGTGCAAGTCAGGAAAGGTGTGTGGGAATGCCCTAAAGTGCCTAATAGGTCAGGGAAACTGTGCACGGAGCAATGCAGATCTGGGAGATGAGGTGCATGGGAGTAAGCAAAAAGTGCTGGGTGTCAAGGCAGGCATATAAGGTGTAAGTTGGGTCAGAGAAGACATGTGGGAGGCAACACAGGTTGTGAGAGTATGTAGATGCCTGGGCTCGAAAGGGTGCATGGGGGTTCTTTTCTGTTTCTTCTTTCCCTTCTTCTCCCTTTCCAGCAGGCAAGTGGTTGGAACTGATTCAGGAAGGGAATGAGAGATTGCAAGAGTGGCTGGGAAACTGTCACAGAACATTAAAAATGAAGATGCTGTGACTGAGCTGCAGCCCAGCAGCAGCCTGAGGCACTGAACCAGCCACAACATCCCCAAATTTCATTCCTTTGGAAATCATTTGTTGTGTATCTGTAAGTTAACCCATTTAAGGTATCTTGTTCAGGGGTGGGATTCAACCGGCATTACTACCGGTTCGGTAATTACGTTTTGCGCATGCACGTATAATATACCATAACCTGTGCCGCCCGGACAGCTGATAAGCACTGCGCACAGGTGTGCAGCATTTGAAAAAGCACTCTTTTACTGCTTTTTCAACCTCAGCTGCGCAAAGCAGCTGAGGTTAAAAAAGCAGGAAATAAAGGTCAGGTAAGAGCCCTGGCGGACGGGCCAAACAGCAGCAGACAAAGAACTGGTTCGGTGTCTGCTGCTCTTCAGAGCTACCGGTTCTGTAGAACCAAGCAGAACCGGTAGCATCCCAGCCCTGATCTTGGTTTAAAAATTGTTGCTTTATAGTTCATCATATTACTCATTTAAAGATGATAGAAGAGTTTTAGTAACATATAGAGCTGATATTTCAGTTTTGTAGCAATAACATTTTCAAACATTGCAGTATTCTTCTGGTAGACTGTAAACTCAAAACTAGATTGACTGTTAGGTCATGGCCATGATAGGTAAGAATAGAAAAAATTATTTTGTCTTCATCCATACCCCTTCTCCTCACCTGTCAAGGATGGACATGGACTTAATATTCTTCCACAACACTAGACCTGCATACAGAACAATGCAGTAGTCAATACAAGAGAAAATAAAAATGCTCTTTCTGCAGAAAGCTTCCATGTTTAGCTGGATAGTAGGATCTCTTTTTTTATTGAAGCAGATATCCAGTGATGAAATTCAGAACTTGCCTGTAGATACAATTAAATATATATTCTAAAATATAAGAGGCTGAGCTCAAATAAGATTTTGGTTAAATCCATGGCTTCTTCCTCAGAATGACAGAAAGATGCCAAATTTTGATTTGGTTTTTTAGCGTGCTTTGTGAAAGCAGCCACTGTTGATTTATTACTTAGCAGAAATATGTTTCATTACTAAACTTATTAGGATAACGCTAATAAGGATAACGCTAATAATGGAAGTATGCCGCACATCATCATCTGAGTCACAAATACTTATATGAAAATAAATTTATCCATCTCCAGAATCTCTGAAAATGATGTTCTTCTATTTAACATGCTCAGAAGGCGATCGCCTTCGGAAGATTTCTGGGTTCGCATATCACGCTAATCTTATTTTAAAAATCACCCTAATCACACAACACCCTGGAATCGTATTTTAATTTAGCTCGCTCGCATCATCAGTATCTGTTCACTAGGCCAAAATGTGGCACCGACCCAAAAAACAGCCACCCTCTCAGTAAGTCGAATCGGGCTTGGCTCGCAATACCGTCGCTGACACGGAGGAAAGCAACCTCCCCTCACCAGCGCCAGCTCATAAAACCGGCTTCTTTTCTTTCTACCTTCCCTTTCCCGCCTGGAAGGCTGTGACGTCACCCATGCATCCGAAGACTCCGCCCCATGCGCTGCTCCTTTCGGTTTCCCGACGGAGTTTCGGGCTATCTCGGGCCTGGGCCGGCCCGACTCGGCTCCCTCTGGCGGCGCCGATCGTCCCGGGCTGAGCTTGAGCTCCGGGACGGCCTTAGGAGATGTCCCGGCCGAATAGCGTCTCGCCTCGGCCCTCGGGGAGTGGATCCACAACCGGAGGCCCCCCTACCGCCTCCGCCGCCTCCTCGTCGTCCTCCTGCTCAGGCGGTGGTCGCGCCAAGGGGCTGAAGGACATTCGTATTGACGAAGAAGTGAAAATCGCTGTGAATATCTCTCTGGAGCGGTTTCGGTATGGGGACCAACGAGGTAACGGCTCCCTACCCCCAAGGAGACCCACAGTTGATGGGATTGTCCCTGCCTTGTTAAAGGTTTGCAAATTAAGTGACCCTCCTTGTTGGTTCTTCCTGTGGATTGACCTGCAAGCGCTGTCTCAGTGTATCTGACAACTACAATGGAGAATATCCCTTATGGAGAAACCAATTGCTGGTGAACAACTGCCTGTATTGTTTTTCTTACCCTTGTGGTCCAACGTGATATGTGTCTATTATGTAAAGGAGGCCAACCTTACCTGCATTGGTTACTCTGGCTAGGAAAGTCCAAATGTCTTGGTTGTTGATTGTAGTTGTTGCAGAAATAATGTAGCAGCATCAATGCAGCATTTCTTACGGAACATATTCAGTCTTTTTTAATTAGATACTGAGGGTCTGTCATTCTCTTGCAACTCACAAGACAGTTCCCCCCCCCACTCCATTAAATGCAGATTCTTCAATGTGGAGTTGCCCATACTGTATTTTCAGACAATCAGAAATAAAAGGTTTTTCTACAGTGTTATATCAGGTATACTAAGGAAGATTAAATATGAGTTGAATCATTTGGCTCTGATATTTCTGTGTGTGTGTATACAGTAGAACCAAACAGCAGATAAATAAGGCATGTTTCCAATTGTGCTGTCCCGAAAGGTAACAAGCAAGCATGATGGTCATAATGAATTCAGGAAGTTTCTCAGGCCCTGGGCAACCAGCATTTCTTGGTTGAAGAAATTGTTAAAGTGAAGGAATTTATAAACTTTTTTGGTATAATATTTATCATATATTCATTTGTTCATTTATTTAAATGCCATGTAAAATAAAGGATATTTGCACATTTATCAGTCAATAGTTTATTTTTCCCCAGGGTATTACTAATTAAATTTGTTAATTGACATATGATATAACTCTTTGTGTTGTGTTCTGAAATAAGCTCCATATAATTCAATGGAATCTTTCCAGATGAGACTCTTTTCTCATCTCTGAGAAATATTTATTCCTGTTTATGAATGAAAATAATCCAATTACTGAATATTCCTGTTGTAATTTTCTCCTGCAGAAATGGATTTTCCTTCATCATTGAGCAGCACTGAGAGAGCTTTTATTCATCGACTAAGTCAGTCTCTTGGTTTGATTTCTAAAAGCAAAGGGTAAGCTGGTATTTTATAAAATAAGCAGCTTCCATGTATTGTGAGTCAACATGGATAGTTCAGAATTAATGATTCTGATATAATTGTAGTTTTAAGCTTCTGAAGTATTTTAATGATGTTGAGTTCTTCATGAGTTTGATGTGCTTATGTTTTAAATAATGCTACTGTATTGCTGTCAAGTGCTTGTTCATAATTTCATGTTTAGATAGAATTGATAGCCAGATAACATTGGCTATCATTTATCCTGTGTTGCTGCAATAAAATATATTCATTTAGATCAAGGGTCTTCAAACTAGACAGCTTTAAGACTTATGGACTTCAACTCCCAGAATTCCTCCTCCAGTCATGTTAGCTCAGGAATTCTGGGAGTTGAAGTCCACAAGTCTTAACTTGCCAAGTTTGAAGACCCTTGATTTAGATTTTATACTATTTTTATGTTAAAAATATTTAGAAAATGACTATTCAGGTTTAGAAGGGTAGATAAATTATGTAGATGTTTGAAGTTAAATTGAAATGAGCTGGACTTCTAAATAAATATTGTTAAGAATTAACTAGGTTTTCTGATCATTGACGATCTAAAAATTCTTACTGTATTTTATTCAATCACAATGAAGTTTCTTTAGTTACAAATAATTGTGATACATACTCATGATCTCAGTAGAGGTAACTATGATCACCCTGGTTAGTGTTGAAATGGAAGATCACCATGCACAGTTGGCTAGACTGGGAAGTTAAAAACATCCCAGAAGTCAGCAGTGGAAAACCTTATATCAAGAAGACTGCTTGGATGTATCACCAAGATTCAGCTTCATTTAAAAGATACTTTACTCTTATATGATTGCCATTAGTAAAACCTTAGATGTTCCTAAAAAGTTATTAATGCTTTAAAAAGTATGTGTTTAGATAGCCATTTGGGCTTACAGTATAAAAAGCCTTGTCCTAGAAACAAACTAAATTCTATATGTTTTAGATCCTATTCATTGAAATGTATACTGAGCATTTAAAATACAGTAGGGATTTGCTGTACTCAACTGTGTGATTGCATTTCAGAGTAGCTGATCTATGTATTGATAATTCAGAAATAATGAACAGTTACAGAGAAAAATTAAAAAGAAACCTAGCATATTTTAATATTCTTTGAGATAATTAGTTAATATCCAGATATTCTGATCAATGTGAATGTTAAGGATCATTCTGGCGATAAATAAAACAATGCATCCATATTACAGGAAAGGAGCAAACAGATATCTAACTGTGAAGAAAAAAGATGGATCCGAATTGGCACATACAGTGATGACTTGTAATTTGATTCCAAACACAAAGCATGCTATTAGAAGTTTAGTTCAGAGATTTCCTGTAACCAATAAAGAACGCACAGAACTTCTACCAAAGACAGAGAGGGGAAATGCATTTGCTGTTGAAGCTGGTAGGTTGAATATCCTGTGAAACACTACAGTAAACTATGGGAGGAAAATATGCTGCTGAAAGACATGCTTAAAATGTTACCATTACAGTCTGAGATTTTTTATAAATGTGATGATTGGTATCCTAATGAGTGTGAGTTCAACCCTGTGTTGATGGTGCTGATTCATCATTTCCCCAATACTGCTTTGTTGTTGTTGTTTTGAAGACTTTTCTAATTCTTCCCCAAAGAAGAGAGAATTTTGGTAGAATGTTCCCATTCCCTTTAATGAATTCTAAACAGAACTCAGGATTCATACCTATATTTTTCAGTAGCAAGTAACAATAAGAGTCACAGGAATAACTTCATTAAGAATGAACAGTAGGTTGAATTGTTCAAGTGGGATTTCAGTACAGATTCCACATTTCATAAATTTTACTTTGAAGAGACTGGGCCATATCAGATGAGATTCTGAAGAAATCTGAGGAGATACACAGTGGACCAGCCTGTTCTTTGATTCCTCAGAAACATTTTTGATTTTTCCTACTATTGTAGTTCAAAGACCATTTTAAACTATTTTTGTACCCCAAAAAATGAACTTATGTTGTACTTCTGCCATACGGCAGGCCTGAGTAGCTGTTTTAATCTCCTAATCTATGCATTAAAAAAAAGTTAAAATCTCCCCTCTATTAAGTCTTAAATAGGCAAACTTTTAGCAGACCAGGTATGGCCACAAAGAAGAGATGAGAGTAGTCCTCTAAAACTTTCACCCGGGAGCTGTAAGACAGGTTATATTAATTCTGGGTGTTATTGTGTAATCACTAAGCTATTTAGTACTTTGATCTATGATTTGCCTGGTTTGTAGAGTGAAAATGTAAATAAAGAATAGCTGTTCTGTATCCATTGTGAACAAATAGAATGTGTGTCTATTGTCAGACTGAGCAATTTCTGTTTATTCACAATTATGTTCCACCGGAATTTTATTTATCAAAGATACTATTACAGTACAAACTAAGTAATAGTTTGGTACTGTCTTGTTGTGTGATATTCAATTTCTAAAACCAAATTATTTATTACATGTTACAGTAGATTTTCAACTTATCATAATCCTTATTTTCCCCCCACAGAGAATAGAGAAATGAGCAAAACAAGCGGGCGTCTTAACAGTGGCATCCCTCAGATCCCAGTGAAACGGGGAGAATCAGAATTTGATTCATTTCGACAGTCTCTACCAGTTTATGAAAAGCAAGATGAAATTGTTAGAATTATTAAAGAAAATAAAGTAATTTTGATTGTGGGGGAAACTGGATCTGGAAAAACTACTCAGGTATGCTACATATAAGAAAAATAAAAAATATGGAAAAGCTGTCCTAATAGATAAGTAAATAAGTTTTAATATTTTAAAATCTTCCAGTTTCAGATGGTAATATGCTATGTGGGATTCATATGTCTAGTTAACTGATTTTTCTTCTTCTAATAATAACACCTATCTTTATCTTCAGATACCTCAATTTCTGCTTGATGATTGCTACAAAAATGGCATACCGTGTCGCATATTTTGCACTCAACCAAGACGGTTAGCGGCAATTGCTGTGGCTGAAAGAGTTGCTGCTGAAAGAAGAGAGAAGATTGGTCAGACTATTGGTTATCAGATCCGATTAGAAAGCAGGTCTCATCAAATGTTTTTTGTATACTTGGATTTCAGTATTTTAGAAGACTTGCAGATTACAGATTGTGCAAGTAACAAGGTTTAGAGATAATCTCACCCCTTGGCACGTTACATGTATTTTTGATCCTATAACTCTTTTGGTTTAAGAAGACTGGTATGCAGGTATCCTCAACTTGCGACCATAAATGAGCCCAGAATTTCTGTCATATATCATGACAGTCATAAGTCAAGACATCTGCATTACAAATTTTATGATCTTTTTTATGACAGTCATTAAATGAAACCATTGTTCACAATGGGTGTTTTTTGCTGGAAACCAGAAGTAAATGGCATTAATGCTGTGTTGCGTTATAGTGATAAATACTAATAGCATGTACTGTTTCCAAATGAACATCCATTTCATCATCTACCAAGTCTATTTTTTGATAATTCTGCCTTCCAGAATTAGTCAACAGTACATAACAAAGTGATACTGTATTTATAGGATGCTTTTCACAGAAAGTCTTGCCTCATAGATTTTTTAAAAAATAACTTTCCCAGTGATTCATTGTTTTACATTTCCAAGATTTTAAAAATGTAGTCCAAAATTTGTTTTAATCCTGAGAATGATTTCCCTTTCCTTCCTCACTGTCCAGTACTCTACTCTTTTTTTGTGATTCCTCACACTAATATGCTTGATTATGTTAATCAAGTTTGAAAATTGTGAAACTAAGTGTAGTTAAGATACTTTAAAATATTTCTTACGTGTTGCTTCTATGTGTAATGCTGACATTGATTTGTTGAGGAACCTGTATCCCTCGTTGAATGAACATGAACTGTTTCATATTTTAAGTGCCACCCTCTAGCCTTAGATTTTGTGCAAGTATGTGCCTGTGTTACATATAAATTTTGATACAGAAACTACATGTAATATATCCTTTCTTTATTGTTTTTGCTTAGTCAGGGTATAATCCAGTCTTTTCTTTGTGTTAAAACAAGTCATTTGGTCTTTCAAAATAACATTGCTTTGCACTACAGCTTTGTAGTACAGCTTGTTCAAAATTTACAGTGTTGAAATGATAACATTGTGATGAGAAGCCCTTTTTTGTAGCAACTTTGTGTCTATGTAATTGTTTTTAAATGTTTTTATTTATTAAACAAATTTTTATAGCTACCCAACTCACACATTGGTGATTTAGAGAGGCTTACAAAATCTAAAAAATAACTTTATATTAACAGGGTTTCTCCAAAAACGCTCTTAACCTTTTGCACAAATGGTGTATTACTTCGTACACTAATGGCGGGGGATAGCGCATTGTCTACTGTAACTCATGTTATTGTGGTAAGTTTGGCCAATGTTTTTCAAAAATGGTATCCTTGTTAATGTGCAAACTTTTTAATATAAAATTTTATTTATTTTAAAACAAAAATAAAATTAATTTTTAAATAAAAATTTAAAGTAAAAATGTTAACATATAAACAAACTTTCTTATTAGCATATTAGTGGTCTTATTTATTTAATCAATTTATAAGAATGCCTTTTCCCCTGTAACTGGTATTGCTATCTTGATCATATATTACTTTGAGGCACTTGCTCCTGAACTATGGAGTCCAATAGAGGAAGAGATTCTGATCCATTTTTTAAACTTCTACAGATGCATTGAACAGAATTTGATTATTATACTTTTGTAACTGTAATAGGTTCTAAAGCTTGAGCAACTATACTTACATACTAGATATTTTACCAGTGTTTGTAAGCTTGAATTGTGAAATAATATATTGATAAATTGACAATTTAATTATAATTATTTTATTTTATTTTTAAATTATGATCATCTTGACTTTAAAGTGATTTGATAAAAATATTTATCTTCCAAATGAACATACTTGGTATCTATGGGTAGTACCAAATTATGAAAGAATATAATTTTCTGTGATCATCTATATATAATCAGAATGTGAGATTTAAGGAACAGTTTTCAAACGAAGCATGTAAAATTTGGGATTCTGATTGGTTTTTTTTAAACTGCCTTTTATTTGACAGCTTGAATACTCTGAAGCAAAATACTGCATAAAATCCCAACATAAGGAAAGCAGGATGAATTATATGTTGATTGTTGGGACTATTAATATTAGATGGGACAATGGCTAGGTAATTCTGAGAGTTTAAGCCCATACATTAGGAGCATGCACAAGGTAGGGAAAATTAATGTCAACCAATAGAAATGAAAACCGGTATTTGTATACCAATGCAGTAAAAAGATAGCAAAACATAGCTTCAGTATAGTAGCCTCGGTCATTATGATTAATGCTAATAAAGACCCCAAAAGCATGATTATCATTTCTATTATCATCTCTTCCATTCAGGGGTTTCAAAATCTTATGGCCAATGGTTTCATTGGACTTTTAAGAACTACATAGAGCAAATATCATGGATGATAATCATGGTGATTATACTATCCAATCAATCATGTTAGATTCTCAATGATTCTATGGACCAGTGCTCTCCATATATTTTTTATCCTGTGCAGTTTCTTTCAGTTATTTTATTCTTTGGCTGATGCTGGCTTTTATAGTGTCTACCCATTGTGGTTTTAACAGCCTTTTCCCTTTTACTGCTGACCATTCTTAGCATAGTTGTCTTTTCCAGTGAGTTTCATCACATGATATGGCTGAAATAAATAAGGTGGACTTTTGTGATTTTGTTTTTCAGCCATATGTAAGGTTTTATATGACCTACTACATGCTTGTCATCTTTTCTGTCCAAGAAGCCTTATTAAATTTATATATAAATAATGAGCTATGTATAATTGAGATATTTGCAACAGGTGAACAACTTTAGTTAACAGATGACAACAAGAAACAAATTATAACATGATGTAACAAAATGCTCAAGTTTTATTATAAAAACCATGGTTTGTTTATGTTGCAGGATGAAGTCCATGAGAGAGATCGATTCAGTGATTTTTTGTTAACAAAATTAAGAGATATGCTACAAAAACACATGTCATTGAAACTCATACTTTCTAGTGCTGCTCTTGATGTGAATCTCTTTGTCAGATATTTTGGAGGCTGTCCAGTGATATATAGTAAGTTCAAATATTTTTTTTAAAATCCCAGAATTAAATACAGTTCAAGAAAATATGTATTACTGTCTGTGTGTTTGAGAGGGAGGGGGAGAGACGGAGGGACTGCCTCATATTTTGGACACATGCTGTAAGTTAGCCTATTTGAAATATCTTGGTTCAAACGTATTGCTCTATGATGTACCATTTTGTCGAGTCAAAGTTTACCCACAAACATGAAAAATTTAGTAGTACTTAGATTATTTGACATAGCATGTTTTTGAAAAAGGGGGGTATTCAGAATATCTCAGCTGTGATATAATAAATTTTTGTTCAATTCTGAGTATGTAATCATTACCTGTGCAGAAGTAAACACTATTGGGATATAAACTTAAAAAATATTACTCTTAGTAGATATTAAATGGAGCTTGATTTAACTGGGCTAATATTTATCCTAAGATTTTTTTTTTCAGTTGCTAAAGCAGCAGTCTAAAAAGAGCAGTGATGTAATGAAACAGGAAGAATACATTAGGAGAGTCTTAAACAATTTTGTGGGGATTGGACCAGGGTCCCAAAAATCAGGTCCTGGTTTATATAATTACACTAAACAGATTTATGCAACTAAACTAAACTGCAGCTAAGCAGATTTATGTAATTAAACTGGATCCTATTAAAATTAAATGAAGGTCAATAGAAAGATACTTAAATAAAGCATGTTACCATTAACTGTCTATTAATGCTTAACTCACTGAGAATGAGTAAAGGAACAGAAAGACATAATAACAAGTGTCGTGGCAATAGGGACTATCTACTGAAGTTCATCTCTGTGGACTAATAGCTAACTAATCAAATCCGTATAATAAGCATGACATAATCTGACAAATCAGATATTAATATTTTCATTGAAGTCTGCTTCACTTGGTCATTTTATTGTGCTTCATGGACATGCAAAAAAGCTAGAAGATTTTGGGTTCAAATTCATACACCAATCACAAGATTTTAAAGATTAATATACAAATAAAATCCAGGAGTTTTTCTTTTGGGACTGTTAGACTAACCATTGGAAAAAAATAATGGAACTTTGTTTTTATACGGGTAGTCCTCGACTTACAACCACAATTGAGGCCAAAATTTATGTTCCTAACTCGGTCATTTGTTAAGTGAGTTTTGCCCCATTTTACAACCTTTCTTGAAACAGTTAAGTGAATCATTGTAATTGTTAAATTAGTAACATGGTTGTTAAGGGAATCTGGCCTCCCAGATTCTTATTAGAAAGTTGCAAAAGGTGATCATATGTCTCCAGGACACTGCAACCATTATAAATGAATCAGTTGCCAAGGGTCTGATTTTTAATCACTTGACCATGGGGGTGCTGCAACATTGTAAGTATGAAAAATGGTTTCAGTGCTATTAAACTTTGAACGGTTACTAAATGAAATGTTGTAAGTCAAGGACTACCTGTATATGATAACTGCAGCAAGATTATTGTATGTGTAAAGATGGAAAGATTTGGCAATACCTACAATGGAAAAATGGTAAAGATGATAGAACTTGCTGAGATGGCAAAATTAACCTATTTGCTTAGAGAAAATGCAATATATATGTTTATTTAGGAGTATAGGAGCCATGCTGGTGCAATGGTTAGAATGTAATACTGCAGGCTACTGTGACAGTATGAGTCTCACCAACTCAAGGTTGACTCAGCTTTCCATCCTTCTGAGGTCAGTAAAATGAGGACCCAGATTGTTGGGGCCAATATGCTGACTATAAACTGCTTAGAGATGGATGTAAAGCACTGTGAAGCAGTATATAAGTAGCTATTGTTATTTATCACTTAGCTATTGCTATTATTACTGACTGGAAATCCCAAATGGACTTTTTATATAAGACAGAAAAAATAGACTTATTGATTTATGATTCTGTCAATTAGATAAGATAGATTATAGAAAGGAGAAAGTCTTCTTTCTGTAGTCAATCTAAAAGAAGAAGGGAGGTAGCTCTATAATTGTACTTAACAACTGCTGTAAAGAAGATCAGAAACCAAAAATTTATGGCTTTTCTATTTTTCATTTTTCATTTTGTCTTTCCTTTCTCCCCCCCTTTTTAATATTAATTTTTACTCTTGTTTTTAAAAATTTCAATTATATATTTTAAAAGGATACTTCAGTGTTCTCTAAAAACACATGTTTATTACAATTCCTAATTGATTGTTCAGAATGAACTCTGGGAATTTATAATAAAGTTTGTGTTTACAGTTCCAGGAAGACCCTTTGAAGTAAAGGAAATGTTTTTAGAAGACATATTAAGAAGTACAGGCTATACAAATAAAGAGATGATCAAATACAAAAAGGAAAAGCAGCGTGGTGAGTATTTAGTTTTGCAGTTGTTGGAAATTTAATGTTTTTTTAAAGAATTTTTATTTTTAAAAACAAACATACTGATACAAAACATAAAAACATAAAGCCATCTTCCATTTTAAATACATACAGTGTGTCAGTTGGTTACAAATCTTTTGTGCTGTTCTTTTGTAGTCATTTACTCACAATTCATATCAATTTTCACATTGTCGAACTAACATATGCTTGTATATTTATCAGTTATTAATCATCCATGACTAAACTATTTATTCCATCATTTTATACGAGATGTTCCAAGTTTTATGTTAAAATTTATGTTATACTTTCAACCAATGGTTATATATGTATATATTATGTCTTATATCAATCTATTAAATTTCTATCACAAAATTATATAGTCTATTACATTACCATGTCTTTTTGTCCAACCATTGATAAAACAAATCCCATATCATATAAAATTGTTTATCTTCTTGTTCTCTAATTTCAAATGTCAATTTACTCATTTCAGCACAGTGCATAATTTTCTTAATAACTTCCTCCTGCATAGGTATTTTATCATTTTTCCAATTCTTAGCAAATACAATCCTAGCCGCTGTTAGTACATTTACAATCAAATATTTCAATTCTTTGTTATATATTTCCAGTATAATTCCAAATAAAAAGATCTCTGGTTTAAAGTCTATATGTTGTTTTATCATTTTTTTTTGCAACCATGTGTGGATTTTAGTCCAATATTTCTTTGCGTCCGAACATGTCCACCACATATGGTAATATGAGCCAGGTATCTGATGACACTTCCAACATATATCCGATTTATTCTTAAACATTCTCACAAGTCTCGTCGGGGATAGATGCCACCTGTAAAACATCTTACACAAATTTTCTTTATATGCAGTTGACATTGTCATTTTATAATTTTGAGACCACAATTTTTGCCATTTTTCTAAATCAATCCCATATCCAAAAATTTTCCCCCAAGCAATAATTGTTTCTTTAACTTTTCCTCCTCCAATTTAAATTCTAATAAGTGTCCGTAAAGTTTTTTAATTACCTTTTCATCAGTACCCATCAAAATCTTATCTGTCAGTCAACTTACCATAAATACCTTCTGCTTTTACATCTTTGTCAAATCTAGATTGTATTTGCAAATATGAAAACCAATTCATTTTTACACCTTGTTCTTCCAACACTTGCATAGATTTAAGTTCACCCTTTTCATTCAATATCTCACCATATCTAACTGTTGTTTTTTTATATATTATTGGATAAGAAAAAGCTTCAATGGTAGATATCCATAGTGGAATTTTTAAATAATATTGTCTTTTTATCTTCTCCCAATTAAAAAACAATGCCTCTCGAATATAATGTCTTCTAAAATACCCCTGCGTTTTAGTTCCCTTGTACCAAAGGAAGGCATGCCATCCCAACAGCAAGTCATGCCCTTCTAGGGTCAATAGTCTATCGTTCCTTAATGTTATCCATTCCTTTATCCACATCAAATTTATTGCTTGGTAATACAACTCCCAGTTAGGCAAGGCAAACCCTCCTCTTATTCTTGCATCTTGTAATGATTTTAATTTTATTCTTGCTTTTTTGCCCTGCCAAATATATTTCAACACAATTCTATTTAAATCTTCAAAAATCTCCTTCCCTAGTCGGATTGGAATTGTCTGGAATAAATATAAAATTCTAGGCAATACGTTCATCGTAATTGTAGATATTCTCGCAATCAATGATAATTGTAAGTTTCCCCATTTTGTCAAATCTGTCGCAATCTGCTGTTTGAGTTTAAAATAATTATCCTCCTTCAGTGTGCTACATCTTGATGTAATGTATATCCCTAAATACTTAACCTTATTTGTGACCTGTATTTCTAAAACTTCTTCCAACTCTTTCTTTCTTCTTACTAGCATATTCTTTGTTAGTATCTTTGTTTTATCTTTGTTTATTTTCAAACCTGATACTTTTCCATATTCTTCTATTTTTTCTATTAATTTAGGTGCTGTTTCCAATGGGTCTTCTAATATAAATACCAGGTCATCTGCAAAGGCTTGCAATTTATACTCTTCCTTTTGGATTTTCATTCCTTTTATTTCTTTATCTTCTCTAATATTCCTATTCAACACTTCCAATGTTAACACAAACAGCAGGGGCGACAGTGGACAACCTTGCCTTATCCGTTTTCTTATGTCTATAGATTCTGTTCTCCATTTACCCTAACTTTTGCAGTTTGTTCATAATATATCGTTTCAATGGCTTGAATGAAATTTAATGTTTTGATTGATATAAAATGCAAAAGGGAAAGGGAAAATGCTATAAAATACAGTGGAAAAACCCTAACATAGCCAAAGCTATGCATTTAACCTTGACTTTTTTCTTTATGTAAAACATAAATATGCTATCTAGAAGAAAAACAGCAGACAACTTTGACTGAATGGTATTCTGCGCAAGATAATAGTAAGCCTGAATTGCAACGACAGAGGGCTGTTCCAAATGTAGCTGAAGAATATGAACTGCTGGATGATGGAGGTGATACTGTCTTCAGTCAATTGGTATGCACTACTCTAAGATCTTCAATATTTTATGTTAGATTTTATATTGGACAGGAATGGTTATGGTTGTAAGCTCAGGCTGTGCCAGTGAACATCAAGTTTAACTGATATATCTTTTTCACTAATATTTTTATATGCATATTCCAACTCTACAAAAATATTAGAAGACAGTGAAAGTCCAAACTGCTACTTACTTTACTTTATTGTCATTGCACCTCGTACAGCGAAATCAAACACCATCTTCAGTGCACATCATGACCATGATCATGAAAATAAACACAAACACACATCCTTCACCCTTCACACATTGAACCGAAAACCCCTGACACCGCACCAATATTGCACTATACAGCAGAAATCAAAAGAGCTACTGCCCTGGGATAGAAGCTGTTTTTCAGCCTATTTGTCCTTGTTTTTATTATTCTGTACCGTCTGCCAAATGGTAATAGTTCAAAAAAAAGGGTTCCCAGGATGAGATGGATCTTTGAGAATGTTTTCAACTTTCTTAAGGCAATGGGAGCTATAAAGCTCTTCCAAAGAGCTTTATACAACTTCCACATTGTATTCTTTTGTGCTTTTCAATTTCCATGATTTTATCATTCTACCCTCTTCATTGAGTTCATGCTTTATTTATTGTGTATCATTTAAAATTTATATATATATATATATATATATATATATATATATAT